CTCACCCTATGTTGTATATGCGGGACAATATGAACAAGTGCACTGTAATTGATCTATATATAGATTCCAGACTGTCTAATGCATGCCTAACTTTCTCTTATTATATCTCTTTGATATACTAAAGCTATATTTCTTTTCAAGGTTTTGGTGATATGCTAAAGCTATCTTTCTTTTCAAGGTTTTGATTAGGTTGGTACTTTCATGGCTTACTTTTCATTTTTTGGTTTAGCCGAGTGTGGATGAAAAATAAGTGAACATGCAATTTTTACTTGTTTCCTTTTGACAATTTGGCATCGTTATCCTTGTTCCAAGGTCATTGCTGTGCTGTTTTTGGGTCTCACCCCTTCTCATCTTCTAGCATCCATCCTGCTGTGCTGTGTTAACAGTCACACTCTGTCTCATCTTCCAGTCACCACCTTTCTCAACTTCAGTTATCTTTGTGCATGCTTTACACCTTATTTGTTTGAATTTGTTGTGAACAATAAATTTTTAGCATGTAGTCTTCAAACTTAATGAAAGTTGTTTAATTAATTATGGTGAGTGTAATGTGATTAATTGATTTTGTTCCTGTTGTTGTTAACTGAGTAATAAATTTTGGTCAAGTGATATGTGTTGAATTTTCTTTTTATGCTCTGTAGGTTGAAGACACTGCAAATTTTCAAGGACATGAGACTGGTGATAGCCAATCGAGTCATGTAGAGGAATTTCAGAAGGTGCTCTTAGCTTAACGTTCGACAGATTCTTCTTGTGTTTTCATTTCACCTTCAATTCTTTTTGGAATTGCATCTAGTTTATTGAAATGTGGGAGGTTATTGCTTTTGCAGGATGAAGTGGTGACCGAATATCCGTCGGAGGCTGTTTCAGCTCAACAAGAGAAGTTCAGCTAGAAACAGAAGCAGACTACAACCAGAGAGATTTAGAATTCGAGCAACAGCATGCTTCTCGCAGACCATATCAAAACCAAAGAGGCGGTCGTGGGGGAGGTGGCCGTAGAGGTTACACTAATGGCCGTGGAGGCCGAGGCAATGGCAGAGGAGGTGGTTCCTTCCAGAATGGTCGCAACCAGTATTACGACCAGCCTGGAAATTATCATCCAAGACCCCACTATAACAATAGGGGTAGGGGTGGCGCGGCATCTTACCACCACCAAGGTGCAGCTCAAGAGGGTCATGCCTCGGCCAACGTTGGAGTTGCTTCGTAACGGTACATTCAGTCTCTGCAGAATGCTTCTTTCTAGTTTTTGTATGGGTCGGTGGGGGTAAGACGTTTGCTGTCCCTGCATGAAACATGGTTTGTATGTGGGTGGTTGACGGATTCACCATCTGGGATGTTTTTTGGTCGCCTGTAGTTCAGTTAATGCGTCTTGTGTTCGAAAACATTCAAAGACATAAGATGTTGAAGTATTTTTGGGACATGATTTGACATAATTTAATTCCGGAGCCTGATGGATTAATATTTTTCTCTGACTATAATACATTTTGTTGGCAATGGTTTGGTGTTTGGATTTACTTATATCCATGTCGAGTCTCAGCACATAGGTTGATCAACACACAAAATGGTATAAAATAAAAGGTTATTTAGCCAAAAATCAATAATACTCTACTATTTAACGCTATATCAATGGCCTATTTTAGTTTACAACGGATCCTAGGTATTATTTATTTACACAATTTTTACAAAGGTTTTTGTAAGGTTCATTTCGTAATATATTTTAATGATTCGAACCGTTTATTTTTTAGGACTTCCATTAAATATCATATCTATGAAAAATCATTCAAAACTGAATCATATAACCGTTGGATTAAGGGTTAAGATTTTCTTTGTAGAAGGGCGTTCGTCTATTTTTTTCACTAAAAATAAGTGATTTTAAATTTGTTTAATTTTTTACAAAAAAGATTTATGAATAATATTCTATAAGATAAACAATTCAATTTTTAAAATAGACCCACAAAAAAGTGTGTAAAAAATCGTATTAAAAAATAGTGCTATAAATCGTCCCTTTTTGTTTTGGATGGACCTACTCAATGTTAGATTGGATTTCTTTTGTTTTTCATAAATTTTTATTTATTTATTTACATGTTTTTCTGCATAAAGAAGATGAAAAGATAGAGAGAAGAAAGTAACGTTGAATGCGAAATGACCAGTCCTTTACTTCACGAATAAACTTTTGGGTCTTTCAAAAAAACTTTCCGAGTTTTTAGTGGTTTTTTTTTTCTGCTTTTAGTCCCTCCAGGAAAAAGCATCAAGGGAAAAGGATTCTCGCCCGATTTTTTTTCTGAGGATCCAAGAGATCAAATGATCATGATCGTTCATATATTGTGTGGTCAGATTTTGTTAGGTATTATTTATGTTTAATTTTAAATTTTAAATTTCAAATAATTTTTGACCACATGATGTACGATGAACGGACATAATCAAGAGATCCCCCAAATTCCTAGAAAAATGATTCGGAGCATCAAGTACAAAAATAAAACTAGACTGCCTTTATTTGGCTTTTTAGTTAAAATTTGCTTGAAATTGGCATAACTCTAGACTTTAGTCCCTAAAACTTAAAATTATCCACTATCAATCATTCTGGTCCCTCTATAGAAAACTCAAAATTTTTATTCGGTCCTTATTTAACAGATTTTTCACGGCAGGATCAACATGATTGGTGGGAGACAAAGTTAGGACCACTTCTATTGATTTCAAATCTCAGAGACCAAAGTGAAGAGTTATGACAATCTTAGAGACTATTTTACTAAAATGCCATTTTTATTTTTATAAGTTTTTCATCTATGTTTATGTCTATTTCAAACAATTCTAGATCATGAAGAGAGAAATTTGAATTCGGATACAATGACGGTAGTATATATGTTCTCGTTAACATGGTTACTAATATGTCTTCAACATGCAAAGAGAGAGAGAGATTCGAATTAGACTTGGAGACGTGGATATGATTAATAGGAAAACTAATGAAAAAGACTTGAAAACTTTGAGTTTTAACGATAAAGACAAAATAAAGAGTAAAGTGAATAGTACCAGAATTGACTTTTTAGTGTAAAAAATGTGGTTTTTCGTTAAAGTGAAGAGTACCGTGGGCTTTTTGTTAAAACTCCCATAGATTAATTGGTTTAACCCACCTGCATCACATGGAACAATTGTGAGGAATAGCTATTCTAGAACAATCATTTGGGTTGGTTCATTTTTAACCGTTCTTCCCCACCCAAAAAATGAAGAAGAGAGAGTTGTTCTTGCTCTCCCAATTCAGAAGACGGAAATCGCCGGTTGGGCTTTTCCAACCAAGATAAACATGGGACTTTTTGGGCATTTTCTTCTCTCACGCTACGCAATTTCCCGCATCTGCCAACCTGTAATTCTTTGGAAAACATGTTGTCGTGAACCATTTTCAGCCGTAGTAATTGGACCACCGGATGACTAATTGGCATCAACCAAAAATTTGGACCACCGGAAAGTGCAAAAAAGGAGATGCCCTTCCCTTTTATTAGCCTCCCTCAATTAATGATTAGTCATATCTTGTTTTGCGGCTCCCATGGCAAATGCTTCGAGGTATCTTGTACTGTGCTTTTGCCGTTAAATTTTAGTTATTGTATTATTGATAAAAAAAAATTGACGGTAAAATCTGGAAATATAGCGTATAAGGATGCTAGAAAATTTCGATAACTAAGTTGACTTTTAGTTTTGGTTTTGGATGCTAATGGAGAATATGTGCCATTCTCTTTGTTTTTGACGTCATTTGACAAAACTTGCCCGTTGACATTAGCAGCAGTCAATTCCTCTTTGTACTCTAATTGGTGTAATTAGGGATCCCAGCATTTACCTTTAATTATAAAATGAAAATTGATTGAATTAATTAGATGCCAAATCCAAAAACAACACCACTCACAACTGTATGTCATAGACTTCTAATTTCTTTTCATTCATCTTTTTGCGGTGTTTATTTTGACTTAATTGACATTTTGAATTCATCTGTTAAGAGCATATGAATAGAATTTGTCTAAAAACCGGCTTGTAAGAAAAAGGTGCTCGAAGACTTTTACACCACACTATATACGTTATTTTTTATATGAGGAGAATTGAGTCCTAACATTATACCACCTGCGTTTCTGTACGCAATAACTCTTGGACTAGTGAATTGATCATTTTAAAAATTGGCGCAAAGACTCTTAAGCTACTATAACGTCCTAACAACATCCATAAAAGAAGAAAAAAAACAATGCTATATCTACCTCATCGTGGACGTATTAATAAAATGAGTGTTATCTCAGTTGGAAATACAATTCACAATATGATCAAATATATTGTGAGTTATATGTGTAAATATTAGATAAGTGTAAATAATAGTCTTTTGTCCTACACCAATAAAGTGCATATGTAAACTTTTTTGGTATTTAACATGTTCAATTCAACTTGGCATAAGAGTAGTTCGCTCTTGGTGACCTGTGTGCTTTAATTTTGCCCCCACTTTTTCTTAGTACTAAGTGTTCAATTAGGGTTTGTATTGTTGTGATTTCCTTTGTTCAAAAAAAGAATTTTTGTGAACAGTGCCATGAGTGAACAATGATCTATTTTGTGCTGGACAGTAAACACGCATCTACATATGACAACTTTCTCCCTTTTTGGTAAATGAACCAAATCCCAAGTGGAATTCTTTGTTAGAACTTTCATCTCAACATTCATGACATCAACCAATTTAGGATCAGAAAAGCATTTTGCTATTCCATAAATATGCTATACATACACTTTAACTATAGCAATTTTTATTGAATAAGTGTTTTGAAAGCGTATCGTCCATGAATTCAAATATTAAATTTTATAGTCCTCAAATTAAATATCACTTTGCCCTCTATCGGTCCTTTTGGCCGTCAGTTTTTCTATCAAACTTACTACGATTGAAAAGCCAAACATGCACTAGGCAAAGGAATTCGATTCTTAAAGTTAATCATACAACTTTTGCCTCCATTGCCCTAAACCACTATATATAAACCCCTTCGGACCAACACCAAATATCCACGCCAAACGCAGTCGATTGGAACAAATTGCCTATAGTTTTGTTTTATCACCATCTCTCAGAGACACAAGAGAGTAGTAGAAGAAGAAGAAATGGGAGGCAACATGTCACACCTTCAAGACTCGGATGAATCTTCACATGGACACGAGTCTCGCATCGTGGCCTTGCATTCCAAGGGTCAATGGAACACCCACTTCGCTGCCTTCAAAGACAGCAATAAACTGGTAACTAACTATAATTAAACTCCTTAAAGAGTTTGTAGGCTTTATAATTCAGTTGATATTATTCTTACATTGAAAGTCTCGAGTTTAAATAGTCCCTCCCTACACTATTGTTTGTATAAAAGGAAAGTCATGGGGCTTGTTCAGAAATGCTTTTAAAATGGCTAGATTAGTTTTAGAGAAAATGTTTTTAGGTTCCAAAAGTACTTAAAGTGCTTAATTTATGTAAGAAACAATAGTTATGTGCTTATTCTAAGAAGAACTTTACGTGATTTTTCAGATTTACTTACATTTTTACAATGATTGATTTAAAAAATATTTTCACCAAAAAATAATTTTAACCATTTTAAAAGCACTTCTGAATGAGCTTATGTTAAGCTCCATATATGATAAATCTACTCTAATATACTCTACTCTTTTTTATTTTAATAAAGTTGCTAAATTGATTAATTATTTTGTTTGGATGGTGATGGTGATGAATAGATGGTGATTGATTTCACGGCTACATGGTGTGGACCTTGCAGAGCCATGGAGCCAATCTTGAGAGACTACGCTGATAAATTCACTGACGTTGAGTTCGTCCAGCTTGATGTCGACGAGCTACCGGTATATATATTTATGCATGAATACTTCTCCTTGTATTTTCCATAAATTTTACATATATTACAAAGAAAACTATTATTTAGACCTTAAAAACGTTATTATACAGTATACACTGATTAGTTGTGAAGTTAAATCATATTATTATGGCAAGTCCATTTTAGGGCTTAACCCACTCCTTTACCCCCTTGGTGTAGGTCTATCTTTTGTTCAAAAAAAAAAAAAAAATCATGTTGAAATATGCAATTAACACGTGACCAAATGTGACGTATAAATATCAGAAATGTTATCTTAGTTACCATGTGGCCATAGAATACATAGTTAATTAGTTACTCATCCTTAAATTTGATATCAATGGTGGAGAATAAATGAACATGTTTTTAATATTTTGATATCAATCTTTGATACTAATTTAAGGGTAAGTGACCATGAATTCTTGATCTAGGTGACGAAATGAAAATACAAATATATATATATATGTATGTATATGTATGGTATATAATTGGTAAATATGAATGGATGGATGCAGGATGTGGCAAGGGAGTTTGGGGTGCAGGCAATGCCTTCATTTGTATTCATGAAGAAAGGGGAGGTGGTGGATAAGATCGTGGGGGCTAGGAAAGATGAACTGCAGAAGAAGATTGAGAAACACAGGAGATCATAATTAATCGAAGGATTAATTAACTGATGCTGTGACTAAACTAAAGCTCGATTGGGAATATGATGATGTGACACCAACGCGTGAGAGTGGAAGAAATAAAGCGAAAAATAAATAATATAACAAGGTCGCAAGTAGTTTGGTTGAATTGGCTTTTTATGTTTTGTTAAAGTTTTGTTGGATTGAAAACCTCATAAATATTATCTCGAATGTACTTTTTGATATGAGAATTGTTATTGGAACTTTAAAAATCTTATTCTACACTCTAATCTTTCTATATTTAGAAAGAAAAATATACTTGTGAGGAGTGTAGAATAAGATTTTTGGAGTGCCAATAACACTTCCATTTAATATTTGTATTATTATAATAAAAACATTATCGTTTTGTTTAAAAAAGGTGCAGACTAAATAAGAGTGATTGTGTATTCTTTAATTTTCGTGATTGTTTTGTATGTTTGTATTTCTTAAGTGCTAATTCACTTTATTTTAAAAAAAATGTGAGCTATATGTATCATTAAAATTTAACGGATCACCTCGTATTGCTTGCTTTCGATTAATTAAACCTGTGTTGTGGAATTTTGCTGCACTACAATGAAATATTCTGCATAAAATTTAAGAAGTTTGAGCAGCGGCGAAAATTCCACTAGAATTGCAAATTAGTTAAACAATCGTGAGTAATTTGTTAAGTTTTCTCGAGATCTTCTGTGTATACATTAAGGACAACGTTATAAAACATTTGAAAATATTGTCAATAATTGAGTGACAAAAATATTTCTTTTTAAACCATTTTTAAAATATAAATAGAAAATTCCAACCTGGCGTAAAACTTAGCCATAACGTAGTTATGTCTTTTTGAACATTGGTATATCCTGTATGAATTTTAAAAACTTTGCGGTGTAGGAAAGTTTCATGAAAATATAACTTATGATAATTTTTTTATTTCACAAAACCGATTAAACATCGTGAGTAAAAATTCTTTTTGAAAAATGCAGGTTTTTAGTTTTCGCAATACCTTTAACACAAACATCAAAGAAAAGTGTTATAAGCCATTAGAAAATAATCTTACAATTTAGGGAGCTCCGTGAGCATTTCTTACATTTATGGATTCCAAACCTTCAAACTAGACTAGTATGCACAATCGCACCGTGGAAAGATTAAATATTTACATGACAATTAGAGTTAAAACGGATTTGGTTTTTATCCGAGGCATATGAATTCTCATAACCTTAGGTACCGTTTGGTACGTGGGACGGTACAGAACAGAGTGGGACAAGGCGTTCCGTCCCACATTTGGTACGCCTAAAACGGGTGGAACGAGCTGTTCCACGGGACAAGTTTTGGGTGAATTTTCGTTCCACCTCACCCCCTGGAACGACTCGTTCCACATCCGTGGAACACAAAATTATAACCTCTCCGTCTTCTTCTTCTTCCTCCTTGTTTCCATCCGAGGGCATCTTTGCTCCCGCTTCGTTCCGTTCCGTCCTGTCCCGTTCTGTCCCATTCCGTTCTGTCCCGTCCCGTCTACGTACCAAACGATACCTTAGGTATCACCTCCACCCAGCACTCTCCTCAGATCATCCTTCTGCTCTGCACTAAGCTTCGCCCGAAAGACGACGTCGAACTTGAGCCTTAGGTTTCCTTTCTTGGTCGGATCTTTAGAGATTGGCATTCCCTCATTAGGAACCACCTCCTCATGGCCAGGTTTGCTAATACTGTCTTTCACCGGGATCACCCTTCCGTCCAACGTTGTCAGATTGACGAACGCTCCGGCGAGAGCCTCGAGTAGAGAGAGTTTTTGAGTGATCATAAGATCATTCCTGTCACGCTTGAAAAGAGGGTGGGCTTCTCGTTAACGACGAAGATGAGATCAGCCACAGAGATGCCGGGTTCATGGTTGCCTTTCTCTGGGAATATATGTAGAATATTTCAAGAATATATATAATAGGCATATGTATATGCGTGCGTTTTGAGTTAGCAGAAAAGAGTTGGGTTCTTTGCCCAATAATTACATCTTTTCAAGAAAAACCATGCAGCTTTTCATTATGGCTAACAGACATACACATTGATTGGGTATCCAACCGCATGCCTTATAACATATATATATATATATATATATGACCTTTGGGTAGTAGGTGTTTTGTATCAAATATATTCATTGGACATACTATTGTAATGTGTTGTATCCTATGGTGAAATGACATACTCAAATAAAAAAATGTGTCAAACGGATGTAATTCTCTCTATATATATTGATGACATTAGTAGAAAAGGAATCATTTAGAAATTTGTTGTCTACACAATTCCCTTACTCTCTCTTCTCTCACCATTACATTCATACAATTTCTTTTTAGTTATTTCTAAGTGAATACAATTCGGTTTTGCTAATCGAATATGTCATACTTTGTTGTATCTTGGAAGTGACTTGCAAAGAACCCTTTAGCAAACTCATTCGAGTGGAGGCAAATAACATTTTAAGAAAACGATTCAAGTCGTACCTCAAAATCGTCAGTCGGATTATTCTCCATAATTCTACATTTACTCTAACAATATATGTGATCTTTGTACCCTTCTTCCAGCCATGCTTGATGTTTCTTCATTAGTCTTTGGCTTACTGCAAAAAAGTTGTTTCAACATTATTAGGGTAAAGAGGAAAAAAGAGTCTTTCAGCATCAAGTGCAAACTAATCCAAATTATGAAGGGAAAAATTTGAATTTGGGTACAATGACGGAAGTATATATGTTTTAGTCAATATAGTTACGCTCATGTCTGCAACATCTATAAATGTTAAGTTACCTTTTAAACTATAATATATATTCTAAGTTATTTTAATACGTGGGGAGTGAGAGATTCGAATTGAACTCGAAGATGTAGATATGTTGCCTTGATTAATTGGTTTAACATGCATCTGCTAACCTATAATTCTTTAGAAAACATGTTTTCGTATACCATTTTCAAGCCGCAGTTTGCCTATTCATTTCATTGGTGATTTATGCTCTATCTATCATGTGTGTGGTGGTGGGTTTATGTGTATTGCACGGGTGGGGGCAACTTGATCAAGGCAACAATTGGAACCACTGTAAAGTGCAAAAAAAGGAGATGCCTTTTCCCCTTTTACTAACCTCGGTTAATTTTTTGTATTAGATTCCACAGTATTTGGTAGCTCATGGGTTTCATTCACAGAATTGTAGTTCTGTGTAAATATCTTGTTTTGTAGCTCCCATGGCAAATGCTTCGAGGTATCTTATACTGTGAAATTTTTTGCCGTTAAATTTTAATTATTAATTTCAGCAATATTTCAAAATATTGCGCGCGTAGATACTAGAAAATTCCGATAACTAAGCTGACTTTTAGTTTTGGTTTTGGATGCTAATGGTGAATATATGCCATTCTCTTTGTTTTTTACGTCGTGGCAAAACTTGTCTATTGAGATTAACAACAGCCAACTGCTCTTTACACTCTAATTGGTGTAATTAGGGATCTCAGCATTTACCTTTAATTATAAAATGAAAAATGATTGAATTAATTAGATGCCAAATTCAGAAACAATACCCACTCACCAACTCTGTCATAGACTTTTAATTTCTTTTAATTTTATCTTTTTTTGGGTGTTTATTATGACTTAATTAACATCTTACATTCATCTGCTAAGAGCATATAGACAGAACTTGTCTGCTTGGCACATAGATAGAACTCGTCCTTAAAAACCGGATTGAAAGAGAAAGGCTGGCCAAGAGCTTTTAAACAACATTAGTATATATTATTATTTTGATATAGGGACAATCGAGTCCTAACATTATACCGTCGCGCTTCTGTACACAATAACTCTTAAAGTAATCGATTGATCATGTTAAAAATTGGCTTGTAAGGAAAGGGTGCGCATAACTCTTAAACTACTATAAGTCCTAACAACATCCATAAAGAAGAGAAAAAAACAATGCTATGTCTACCGCATTGTGGACGTATCAGTAAAACTAGTATTCGTCTCAGTTGAAAATATAATTCACAATATGATAATATGTTGCGAGTTATATGTGTAAATAGTAGTTTTTTGTCGCACATTTATGAAGTGTATACGTACTAGTTGTAACTTCTATATATACTCTACTTTGAAGATCAATGAGTATAAAATAAGGGAATTGTTATTAGCACTTCAAAAATCTCATTCTACACTCCAAACTTTCTATATTAGGAAAAAAAAATACACTTGTGAGAAGTGTATAATAAAATTTTTGAAGTGCCAATAATAATTTCCTAAAAGAAATTTCCAATTATTATTTGATACTTTTTGGTATTTACCATGTTCAATTCAACTTAGCTTTAGAATAGTTTGCTCTTAATGACCTGTGCACTTTAATGTTGTGCTCACTTTTTCTTAGTGTCGACTGTAAAGTCAGTGTTCGTGTTGTTGTGATTTCCTTTGTTAACAAAATCATGAATAGTGCCGTGCGTGAACATTGATTATGCTACCGTGTCATGAACAGTGATTTACTTTCTGCTTGACAGTGAACACCGCAGCTTTCGCCCTTTTGGCAAAGAAACCAAATCCCAAGTAAAATTCTTTTCTAGAGCTTCCACCTCAACATTCATGAATTAAACCCATTTTGGGTCAGACAAATCATCTTACATTTAACAAATATGTTATAAATACACTTTACTTACAGAAATATTCGTTGAGTTATGATTTTGAAAGCATTTTGTCCATGAATTCAAATATTAGTTGTAGTCCTGAAATTAAATTTTACTCAACCCTCTATCGGTCATTTTCATCATCAATTTTTCTAACAAATGTTGTACGAACGAAGAATCAAACATGCGCAAATGAATATGAGTTTATATAAAAGATAGTCCTTTTTTATGATTAATATCCCACCTAGATGCCTTAGAAAATTTCCAAATTAAATTCAACGATCCACATAGTAGAATGGTCGAACGAATCCGATTCTTAAAGTTCACCATACAACTTTCGCCCATCGCCCTAAACCACTATATAAACAGCTTCCCACCAACACCAAATATCCACAGCCGAGCGCAGTCGACTAGAAGAAACTGCTTATCATTTTGTTTTAGGCAAAGAGAGTAGTAGAAGAAGAAGAAAGAAGAAATGGGAGGCAACATGTCACACATTCCAGACTCGGATGAATCTTCACATGGACACGAGTCTCGCATCGTGGCCTTCCATTCCAAGGGTCAATGGAACACCCACTTCGCTGCCTTCAAAGACAGCGATAAACTGGTAACTATCATTAAGCTCCTTTTTGGAGCTTGTAGGTTTTGTAATTCAGTTGTTTAAGAGCATCTATTCTTACATTGAAAGTCTCGAGTTTGAATGCTCCCTCACTATACTATTGTTTGTGTAGAATGAAAGTTATAGAGCTCATTTGGAAGTGCTTTTAAAATGACTGAAAGCGACTTTAGAAAAAATATTTTTGAGTTCCAAAAGCATTTGAAGTATTTCTGCAAGAAGCACCAGTTATGTGCTTCTTCCAAAAAGAACATTGATTACTTTATAGAATTTACTTGCATTTTTATTAAGAATTGGTTTCAAAAATATTTTCACGAAAAGCAATTTCAACCATTTTATAAACACTTCTAAATGAGTTCATAATTAAGCTCCGTATATGATAAATCTACTATATTATACTTACTCTATTTATTTTAATGAAGTTGCTTAATTGATTAATTATTTTGTTTGGATGGTTATGGTGACGAACAGATGGTGATTGATTTCACGGCTACATGGTGTGGACCTTGTAGAGCCATGGAGCCAATCTTGAGAGACTACGCTGATAAATTCACCGACGTCGAGTTCGTGAAGCTTGATGTCGACGAGCTACCGGTATATATTTTATGCATGAATACTTCTCCTCATATTTTTCTTAAATTTTACATATATTAAAAATTAAAAAAAAAAAAAAAACAATTATTTACACCTCAAAAACGTTGTTACGCACTGATTCCTTGCAAAAGCATAAAGATGGAATTCGCATCCAGGAAAACATAATGTTCTTCTTGAAATATCAATAACATTATGTTGAAATTTGAATTTGACCCGTGACCGAACATGACATACAAATATCAGAAATGTGATCTTAGTTACCAAGTGGCGAAAGAATATATGGTCGCTCATGCTTGAATTTAATATCATTGGTGGAGAACAAATGAATGTGTTTTTAATATTTTGATATCAACCATTGATATTAATTTTAAAGATAAGTGACCATGAATCTTTGATTACTAGATGACCAAAAAGACGAGACTCGTACAGATATATATATATATATATATATATATGGTATATAATTGATAAAAATGAATGGATGGATGCAGGATGTAGCAAGGGAGTTTGGGGTGCAGGCAATGCCATCATTTGTATTCATGAAGAACGGGGTGGTGGTTGATAAGATCGTGGGGGCTAGGAAAGATGAACTGCAGAAGAAGATTGAGAAACATAGGAGATCATAATTAATCAAATGATTAATTAACTGATTATGTGAGTAAATTAAAGCTGGATCGGGAATACATTATGATGATGATGTGACACCAACGTGTGAGAGTGGAAGAAATAAAGTGAAAAAGGAAAAAATATAGTACCGCGGCAACTCGTTTATCTGAGTTGGTCTTTTATTTTTTTTTGGAATAAGGACGTCTTGTATGCTATTTCGAATGTCTTCTTTGATATT